AATTGAGGTAAACAGAAGTTAAGTGATTAGCCCAGGATCACATAGCTAGTAAGTGTCTGAGGCCAGATTTTAATTCAGTTTTTCCTGACTCCCAAGTCTAGCAGTCTGTCCACTGTACCACTTAGGTGTAGTTAAGCAGTTTCACTATATGCTGCCCACTACCCTTAGATTCCTTGCCTGCTTATCCTGATGCTTGTGCCTTTCTGAACACTGGCTCTTGCTTATTCCCATTACCTGTTTCTTCTGTTTCTATTGATGCACTGCTGGAGGAAATGACAGAACCATGCAGACTGTGTGGCACAAATTTCTGCTACCCCATCTTACAATTCAGTCCTTTGTACTGCATAACAATCCTTTAATTTCTTCTTTGTTTTATTTTCTGTTATAGTCTCCAAAGCAGCTATTCAGTTAATTTCTTCATCCTCAAGCCTCCCCTACCGCTGCCTTCCCCTCCTCACCTATTTAAAATGGAAGATAGCTTTTATGGGCTCTCTCTTCTCCTCAGTTCTAATCCTTAAAACTCTTCTAAACCAGACCCTTATTTTCTCCTTGGCTTCAGTGTTGGAAGAGAGATGGTCTTTCTCCTTGCCAAAGTCAGTTCTTCCATTTCCTCTGGCAGCTTGTCTGTCATTCATCACTCCCCCTCCCCACTTTTATTTTCATTATGTACAAAGCTCTTCCCTTCCACCTACTAACATACTTAGATCTTCCCCATTCTCAAAAATCCTTATTCACGTGACCCTGCCATCCTCCCAAACCGTTATCTTGTAGCTTTTTACCTGTTTACAGGCAAACTCATAGAAAAAGTGTCTAACTTGTTGCCTCCACTCCTTCCCAGCCCTTTGTAGTCTAACTTCTCAAACCATCATTCAGTTGAGCTACTTGAAGGTTAACAACAATCTTTCAATCACTGAATCCAGTTTTCTCAGTTCTGTTTTTCTCTTGCTTTTGCTCTTCTGATTAATCCTTGTTCTCTAGGCTTTTGTGACAAGAAGCTTTTCTTCTGACCTCCTAATTATGTCTGTATCCCAGGATCCCTTCTCTCTACATTCTCTCCTTGTGGTCTTGGCATCTCAGTTGGTCAAGTTATTCCATGGGCTCAGTTTATTTCTATCTATATATCTAGTTTCTAGTTGCTCTAATTTTTTGTCACCCATGGCTTGCAGGATATTTCCACTTAGATGTCCCATAGGATGACAAACATGTCCAGAATTCAACTTCTTCCTTCTCTAAATATCCGTATTTCTCATGGCTAATGCTATTCTTCATCCATACACGCAGTTTTTCAATCTTTGGTCATTTCTGACCCTTTATTCTTTTTTATCTTTCCCCCAAATCCAGTCAGTTTGCCAAGTCTTAATAAATTTTCCCTCCACATTATCTCTCAAATCCACTTCCTTAACCACATAGCCACCACCCCTTTTCAGGCCTTTGTCCTTGCATCTAAGCTACTATAGTAGCTTTCCAATTAGTTTCTTGATTAGTCTTTCTCTTCTCTACTCCATCTTGTACGTAGCTGCCAACACAATCTCCCTAAAGCACAGATCCTGCATAAGACTCTTGAGTGGCCCTGTGTTTCCTCAAAGATAAAATACGAACTCTTCTCAGTCAGGTTGCTGTCACGCCTTCTAGACTTATGTCACATTAGTGATCAGTTGCCACATGGCTACTTCTTTAAATATTCTGTTTCAGCTGCTTGGCCTACTTGCTATTCCCCATACTTAGTGGCCAATTTTCTCTGGTAACTTGCCTTTGGGGTTGAGGGAGGGGAAATGACAACTGCGTCTTTACCTCTTCCTTCTGCAGGAGTCAGTTCTGGGCCCACTTCTGCCAAGAAAATTTCCCTGATATGGCACCTTGTTAGTGTTCTCTTCTTCCTCGGATTATTCTGTTTCATCTTTCTGACCTATTTCCATGTTGAATCCCTCCATAGAAGAGCTATAAGATCCTTGAAGTTTGGGACTGGTTTGTGATTTTTGTGTTGTATCCATAGTGCCTTTTATGGAGTAGGTGTATAATAAATGCCTGTTGAATTAAAATTTATTGTATTACTCTCACTTATATATGAATATTTGCCTGGAAAAAATCACTTAATATTTTGAAAAATTAAAGTTTTATTAAGAACATTTAGCATTGCATTTATTACATGTACTTAGGGGAGTATCTTTTAAGATGCATACTTACTAGGGGGCAGCTAGGTGGCACAGTGGATAGAGCTCTGGCCTTGGAGTCAGGAGGACCTGAGTTCAAATATAGCCTCAGACACTTAACACTAGCTGTGTGACGCTGGGCAATCACTTAACCCCGATAGCCTTACCAAAAAAACAAAAACAAAAGAAGCACACTTACTGATAAATAGAGAGTTAACTTGTGAAAAGACTTATTACTGACGATTTCTTGTTCAAAACAATTATATATCTACATTCACAAAATGCTGTTAATATGGGCTTCCAGCCAGGATATAGAAGGGACTTAGTTATATTGAAATGGTTAACATAATTGTTTTTATTTAAAATGATTCTAGTTGTGGAGTCAGTATATCAAGTATATTTTGTAATAATATTTAATTTTCTTATTTCCTTGTTCTTCAAAATACACTTTGTGAAAGAGGTTAAATAGTTAACAGATGAAGTAAAATGCCTATAGATTTTTTTTCCCAGTAAACTAACAGAAGGAGTTGGAAATCTTTTTCATGTTTGCTAATGGGAATATGGATATATAACTTGTGACTTGTTATTTGCTTTTTTTTGCTTCAGAGAATGAGTGCTTTGAATCATGTTATTTCATGTTTTTGTAACTTCAAAGGGGAAGAAAGTTTTAAAATCTCCATGAAATACCTGTTTTATAAATATTCTATCTTAAAATGGAAATTAAGGAAAATATATACATTATTGAGCTAGTGGCAGGTAGTAAGACATAATGCCTGTCTTTATTTCTACAAGTAGTAACATTTTGTGCCAGTTGCCATCATGTAATACTGTATATATGCTACTTCCTATGTATAAAGCTTTCAAAATAAAAGCTTGTAAACCATGCAAAATAAAATTAATTTCAGATTATATTTGAAAACTTTTGAGACTCATGTTAGGTCTCATGTGTATCATGATATTTGTCGTAGCAAAGAATTGTAAACTAAAGGAATGTTCATCAATTGGGAATAGCTGAATAAGTTATACTATATGATATAGGGAAATATTTGCATCAAAAAAAATTATGAAAGGGACAGATTCAGAAAAATCTGGGAAGACGTGTGAACTGATGCAAAATGAAATGTGCAGAGCAAAGAGAAGAGTTTTCCAGAACTACAATATCATAAAGAAAAACCTCTCTGAAAGATGTAAGAATGTAGAGTTTGTTTGACTAATTATGTTAACAGTTCAACAGTGGAGGGCTTTGTAAGAAAAAAATTGTTTGTGGCAGGGGAAGTAGGTAGTGATGGGGGAGAAAAGAATGATAAAGACATCAATGAAACCTTTTTAAAAGTTTGTAGAATAGAAGGAGGTTCAGAGGTAAACAGAAAAGCTAGACACTTTTGTTAAGTAGTATGTGGAGTGTCAGAATATACTTTTAAAAAACCATGTGTAATGGAGATTCAGGGTTTCATGTACAGTATTCTTTCTGTTCTTTATATATGGAATACTCATATTGGCTGTTAAGTTCAAGATGCCAACAATTATTTTTAAAAAATCAAATATACCTGAATATTGTGTGAAAAGCACTAAATTTGAATTTAGACAAGCTGAGTTTAAGTTCTTTGATAGTCACTTAATTTCTTGAAACTTCAGTTTTCTAATTTGTGAAATGTGGATATTAAAATTTACACTGATTTATGGTGGTATTGTGAAGAAAGTACTTGTAAACTATAAACCATTATATGCATATGTTATCTATCATTAATTATTATTTAACATTTTATTATTCTATGAAAGGTAGAAACTTGCTAACCTAGATCTATTAAAGTAGAGTTTTAAATAATAGGGGATGAATTTCTTCAGATTGTGGTACATAGCCATAATGGTGATGGTTTGATCACTTGGCATACACTTCCAGAATGTTCACCTAATAGTAAAGATAAAAAAAAACAGCTATGGTTTTTTTGGTTTATGGAAAGGAATTGTAATGGTAATAATATAAGTTACTTAGTTTTTTGGAGACCACAATAGCTGGCTGATTTTTATAGAGTTTTAAGTTTAGCATATGATGTATTTATCTCATTTGATCCTTACCACAAGCCTGTGAGGTAGGAGCCATGGATATTACTTGTGTTTTGTAGATGAGTAAACTGAGGCTTAGAGAAATTAAATTACTTGCCCATGGTGACACAGTTATTAAGTATCAGAGATGGAGGTTGGGCCTAGATCTTCAGGTGATAATGTAATGTGTTTTGACTTGGAACTTACTTTTTTCCTTTTATTAATTATCCATAAGCCAATATGGATATCCATATTGTATATCCATATTATATACATGTATGTATTACATATCATATACATGTATACATACATATCTAATTACACATACAAATGTATGTATACATATGTACACACATGTATGTATGTACACACACATACCTATATTGGCTAAAAGCGTAGACTCTTAAAGTTGGAAGGAATCTTTCAGGTATGTCCCTCAAATATGATTCATTAATTGCTACTTACAGTGTCACTGACAAGTCATCCAGCTTCTTTTTAAAAGCTAGGGGTTAGAAGGTTTTTAGCTCCGTGTAATACTTTCATTGTCCTAAACTTTAGAAAGCCAGATACATCGGCTCTAGGGAAAAGACAAGCTAGAGCTGAAGATGGCAATGAGGCCAGTTTTAAATTTTTCATTGATTTAAAAATTTACAACTATAGTTTTTTAAGTTTCCTTAGTATATGTAAGTATGCAATTGTTATTTAAAATGAGTTGTGAATTATAATATTTTTTCTTATTTTTCTTTTTTTGTGTGTATGTCTTTCATTTCTGGGGGAATATGATTCTTTTCAATCCCTGCTATGCAGTTCACAAGATTCCTTTGCAGTTCACCACTGGAGGTAAGTATTTACTCATTTATTTTAACTAGATTCTTATAGCATATTTGTTATTGTACTAATTTTTATAGGCAAGTATAATAAAGCATACCACTTTCTGATATTTGGACATATAGTTTTCAGTAAAACTGATAAAGGCTCATTTGGAGATGAAGATAGTTCCGTTAGATGATAGATACTATCAAAAGCCATTTTCATAGCATTTTTCAGTTTGCATTCTTTTTCATTTATCCCTGGTAAACTTGTCCTTAGTTTTAAGTCATTACTTTATTTAAGACAGTATTAATATCAGTCCTTTCATTGGGCATTTATTAAGTGCTCTTAAAATTTCCAGACTATATTGAAATTAATGATGGGAACAAAAAAAGTAAGAAAGAGTTACTGTCCTTAAGGAATTAACTGTAGTTGAGAAGAGACTGTAGCACGTGGAACAACTAAGGAATTGTTGGGGGGAGAAAGTTATACATTTAACTTCATTTTTTAAAGAGAGGAAGAAGTCACAGAATCACAGATTTTGAGACTTGGAAGGGACCGTGGTGGCCATCTAGTCCAACCCTTGCACGAAAGCAATCCCCATTCACATGTTTCTTTTTTTTTTTTTAATTTTATTAATTTATTTTGGTTTATCAACACTCACTTCCATATGCTTTTGAGTTTAAAATTTTCTCCCCCTTCCTCCCTCCCCCCCTCCCCAAGGCGGCGCCGATCTCCTATAGGCTATACATTTACATTCCTATTAAATGTATTTTCACATTAGTGAAGTTGTAAGTAAAAATTAAAACCAATGGGAGGAACTGTTAGAAAGAGGAACCAAAACTCAACAGAAGAGAAAAAAAATGATAGCAATTCAACTTCCATAGTTCTTTCTTTGGACATGGATAGCATTTTCCACCATGAGGCCTCTGGGGATGTCTTAGATCCTTGTATTGCTGAGAAGGGTTAAGTTTATCAATATTAGTCATCGTACAACATGGCTGTTATTGTGTACAAAGTTCTCTTGGTTCTGCTCATTTCATTCAGCATTAAACCATACTATTCCATTACATTCATATACCACAACTTGCTCAGCCATTCCCCAATTGATGGGCATCCTCTCAATTTCCATTTCTTTGCCACCACAAAAAGAGCTGCTATGAATAGTTTTGTACATGTGGGTCCTTTTCCCATTTGTATGATCTCTCTGGGATATAGGCCTAGAAGTGCTATTGCTGGGTCAAAGGGTATGCACATTTTTATAGCCCTTTGGGCATAATTCCAAATTGTTCTCTAGAACGGTTGGATCATTTCACAACTCCACCAACAATGCATTAGTGTTCCAATTTTCCCACATCTTCTCCAACATTTATCATTTTCCTGTTTTGTCATGTTGGCCAATGATTTAGAGCATTTTTTCATATGACTATAGATGGCTTTAATTTCTTCATCTGAGAACTGCCTGTTCATATCCTTTGACCATTTATCAATTGGAGAATGGCTTATAGTCTCATAAATTTGTCTTAATTCTCTATATATTTTAGAAATGAGGCTCTTATCAGAGACACTGGTTGTAAAAATTCTTTCCCAATTTTCTACCTTCCTTCTAATCTTAGTTGCATTGGCTTTGTTTGTGCAAAAACTTTTCAGTTTGATGTAATCAAAATTATCCATTTTGCTTTTCATGATGTTCTCTATCTCCTGTTTGTTCATGAATTCTTCTGTTTGCCATAGATCTGGGAGGTAAACTATTCCTTGTTCTCCCAGTTTGCTTACGGTATCAGCCTTTATATCTAAGTCATGAACCCCTTTTGACTTTATTTTGGTATATGGTGTGAGATTTGGGTCCCATTCACACATTCTGACCAGTGCTTGTTCAGCCTTTGCTGGAAGACCAGCCTCCAAGGAAGGAGACTACACCACTCCTTGAAGCAGCTTGTTCTACTTTTGGCCTGCAGCTTTCATTGGTAGGAAGTTTTTCCTGGCATCAAACCAAAATTTACCACTTTACTATTTCTGCTCATTGTTCCTGGTTGTGCCCCTGGGGCACAAACAGAACAAATATAAATCCTTCTCTGTACAACAGCACTTGAAATACTTGAAATATCTTTTCCCACTGCCAGTTTTCTCTTCCCAGGTTAACCGTGCCCAGTTAATTCAAACAGTCTCTCATATGATGGACTTCTTGTCACCATTCACCAAGTTTGCTTGCCTCTGGATACTTTCCTTCTTGGAGGATGTAGGCCTCTCCCATGGTACCAGAGCTGGACACAGTACTCCTGATGAGATCTGAGTACAATGGAACTATCACCTTCTTTTTCTGAAAGCTATGTCATTCTTAATGCAAGTGAATGTTGCATTAGCTTTTTTGGCCGACACATCACATTGCTGGCTCATATTGAATTTGCAGACTATTAAAACCCCAAATCTTTTTCAGAAAACTGCTCTATAACCATGCTTCTCCCATATTTTGCCTGTGAGGTTGATTTTTTTTTGTATGTCAAAATTTAAGACTTTACATTTTTCCGTATTACATTTCACCTTATTATATCCAGGTCAGTGTTTTAGCCGGTAAAGATCTCTCTGAATCCTGAACGTTACCTAGTATATTAGCTATTCTTCCTAGCCTTGTGTCATCTTCAAATTTGATGAGCTTGCCAACCATGCATTTATTGAAATGATAAAAATGTTTAACTGCATAGTGCCAAATTCCTAGGGTCCTCCACTGATGTCTCCTGCCTCACTGACATTGAAACATTAACAACTAGCCTTTGATTCCAACTCTCTAACCTCTTTTGCATTCATCTAATTGTATAATAATTTGGTTCATATTTGTCCATCTTTTCCACAGCAATAATGTGAGATTTTTTTTTCCTGAAGGCTTGGCTAAGATAGGTCACCTATATTTCTAGTATTCCTCTCATCTTTCCACTTAGCAACCCTGTCAAAAAAAGGAAATGAAGTTAATCTGACAAGACATGTTCATTTTTAAAGTAAATTTTTATTGATGTATTTTTTTGTTACTTCACCTACATTTTTCACTATATTTCTCCATCTTTCCCTTCCCAGAAAGCCAGAAAAAAAAAAGGCCGTTTGGCAAGACTGACACATTAAAAAAGCCTGACATTGTATGCAGGGTTCTATATGTAATCCCCACCTTTACAGATAAGTTGGGGAGATATTTTATCTTTTAGGGCCTAACTTGGTGATGATAATTTCACAGTATTAATTTTCTATTGTTCTATTGTTCTTTACATTTATGTTGTTGCTGGAGAAGGAAATGGCAAACTACTTCAGTATTTTTGCCAAGAAAGCCCCAAATGAGGCCATGAAGAGTTGGACATGACTGAAAAAATGACTCAACAGCAACACATTTATGTTGTTATATTTATTATACATATTGCTTTCCTGGCTCTTCTTTGTTTTGTGTTGGTTCTTATAAGAACATGATATATTCTTGATGGTGCCATGCTAGGTCTTTGTAATTGCTGCTTCTCTTCTTAGGTGTTTACCAACCATCCTTTTAAGAGTTCATTGTAGAGTTTTTCAAGAAATTGAAGTTTTGCTTACTGGATTTTAGTTTGCATATTTGTTAGAAGAAGCATGAAGGAGAAGGAACACTGGCTTTGGCATTAGAGGTTCTCAACCATTGGCTTGCAGAGCACTTGAAGGTGTGACTTTCACCTCTTGAACCTGTTTCTCCCTCAGTTAAATGAGGAGATTGCACTAGGTGATCCTGAAGGGCCCTTCTAGCTGTAAATCTATGGTTTCCCCCTCTCTTTTGAAAAACAAGACAATCTTTACTCTTCTGCAATATTATGGTCCCTTTCCCTTTTTCATGTTCTTTGAAATCTTATGGGCAATGGCTTAGCAGTCACATCTTCCAGTCCAAGGATGGCAGATCAAGGTGACTTGAGTTAATTAAAGGCAGGCTAGCTACTCTCCATGCTATCTACCTAACTAATCTTGGGGATGAGCTCTCTGTTAGCCATTTTAGTTTCATTATTTCCACTTCTGATGTGATTGGCTTTGGCAGAGAAAACAGAAACATAGTCAGGGTTGACCAGCTCTGCCTTTCCCCTGTTGTCAATTATCACTGTTCCTTTACCTCAGGCACAGATGTAGTCCCTTTCTTAAAAAAAAATTATTTTTAGTTTTCAACATTCACTTCCATAAGCTTTTGAGTTTTAAATTTTCTCTGCCTCCCTCCCCTTCCCTCTCTCCAAGATGGCATGCAATCTGGTATAGGCTCTACATATACATTCTTATTGAACATATTTTTACATTAGTCATGTTGTAAAGAAGAATTAGAACGAATGGGGAGGAACCACAAGAAAGAAGAAACAAAACAAAAAGAAAGCCAAGTTTAAAAAAGAGAGAGCAAATAGTATGCTTCAATCTGCATTCAGACTCCATAGTTGGCTCTCTGGATGTGGATAGTATTTTCCATCATGAATCTTTTGCAGTTGTATTACATCCTTGCATTGCTGAGAAGGGCTAAGTCTGTCAAAGTCAATCATCACACAATGTGGCTGTTATTGTGTACAACGTTCTCCTGGTTCTACTCACTTCACTCACCATCGATTCATATAAGTCCTTCCAGGTTTTTTTTAAGTCTGCCTGCTCATCATTTCTTATAGCACAATAGTATTCCGTTATATTCAAATACACAACTTGTTCAGCCATTCCCCTATTGATGGGCATACCCTCAATTTCCAATTCATTGCCACCACAAAAAGAGCTGCTATAAATATTGTTGTACATGTGGGTCTTTTCCTCATTTTTATAATCTCTTTGGAATACAGCCCTAGAAGTGGTATTGCTGCATCAAAGGATTTGCACATTGTTATAGCCCTTTGGGCATAGTTCCAAATTGCTCTCCAGGATGGTTGGATCAGTTCACAACTCTACCAACAATGCATTAGTGTTCAGATTTTCTCACCATCAATGAAAGAACAGTCTCTATATGTTCTCCTCTCTTTTATTCTCAACTTTAGCTCATTCTGGGCTTTAGTACTATTCACATCATG